ATTTCTTTTTTATATATTTATATGTTATTTTTTTATATAATTATTTCTTTTATATATATTTATATTTTATTTTTTTATATAATTATTTCTTTTTATATATATTTTATTTAATATCTTTTAATAATTCTTCATATTATTTTTTTAATTTTTTTTTCATAATTTTTTTGGAACATATAATTTATAATACTATTATTTATTATATATTTATAATCTTAAGCTTTAAATTTAATTATTTAAATAATTCCATTAATCTCTAAATTACAAAGAATAATTTTTTTTCCATTTTTAATTTGTTAATACAAATAAAAATATTATTAAAATATTTTAAAATAAAATAAAAAAAATTAAATTAAATATATATAAATTAAAATTAAAAAAGGTTGTAAAAACTATATGTATTATATTTTTTAGTAATATTATTATTTAGATTAAAATCAAGAAAATTTTTCGATTTTTGTTGAAATGAATTACATTTATAATTTAATCTATAATATTTATTTATTATTTATATAATGTTGAAAATATTAATTTTAATTCATTTATATAGAGATTTTAAACCATATAATTTTTGCTATGGCTTAAATTAAAATCATGTCATATATTCATAAATTTATTTCTGATTCTGAATAAATATAAAATTCCAAAAACAAAAAAAAAATTAATTTTCTTCAAAAAAAAAAAACTTATATGAATAAATATTAATATATAATATATATTTTAAATTAATATTTTATATTTATTATCTTGCATTTTATATTTAAATAGGTTTTAATTTGATTATCTTTTTAAATATATTCTGATTTGATTTGAGTATAAAAATAATTAATTTCTAACTATTAATTTTTGGATAAAACAAGAAAAAAGCTATATTGATAAAGCGGATTCTATGAATAATTTAACAGATGACTTTAGGCAATAGAAAGATTTAGATTACGAATAATGAATAATACTCTTTATAAATAAACTTTTAAAAATTAATAAACTGGTAGTAAATAATAATAGGCATTTAATAATAATAATTGTTTGAAGGTTAAAATTAATATTAATAATAAAAATGTTTTTTTCTAAAATTATAAAGGATTTTAATAAAATGATAATAATAAAAATATCAAATAATAATGAAATATTTAAATAGATAAAAAAAAAAAATGTATGATATATTGATATAAAAAATAAAATAAAATCCATTAAATTAATTTATATATACTAAAAAAAAAAATATATAATATTTTTATTTTCATTATACTTATTTCTTTGTTATTTTAGAAAAAATAAATCTTTATTTAATAAAGCCTTCTTCCCAAAATATACTAAGAATAATAAAAATAAGCACTATAGCTAATTATTAAGCTAAAAATATTTTCTAAGTGTACAATTCTTTATCAAATTTAAATATTTTAAACCCAAAAATATCAATAAACAAATATTATAATATTGAAAATATAAAAAATATTAACATCCAAATAAAATATACCCTATTTTTATACATTATTTATTTAAAAGGCATAGAAACATAATAGACCATCGAAGACACTAAAAAATACATATTAGTTGCTAAAAAGATAATGTTAACAGCGATATTTTAATCATTATAAATAACCCCATTTTTTAATGATTTTATATCCTAATAAAAATCTTATTATCTATAATGTAAATAACAAAAATAAAGACAAGCTGATCCAAATATAAACTATCCTCCCATACATAAAGCATTCTCTTTAGTAAATAAATTGCAATTAGGTCTGATTTTACTTAAAGTTTTTAAAGGTTTACTTAATGAAACAAATGACATTAAAGGAATAGCAATAAAATAGTTTATATACATTAGTTAAAAACTAGAAAAATTGCTATATTCATAAATTAGTATAATAAATATCGCATATTTATAAACATTAATAGTAACATAATGCCTATAATAAAAAATAATATTTATATATGTATATATATATATTGTTTTTATAATAACCTATAACATTCAATCATATTTGATATAACACATCTACCTTCTGCCAAAATACTAATAAGGCAACTAATAGACTTTCCCTAATAAGAAAAAGGTGCTGAAAAAGACGCATCTGCTTCACAAAAAGAAACGCCTAAAATAAAATAAATATATATATGATAAATTTTATGTATATTTACCTATATCTGCTTATTTAATAGCAGAACAATCATTAGCTCCATCACCTATCATTCCAACTTTTAAATTAAATAAAGTTTAATACATGTAAATAATTTCAGTTTTCTATTCTGGTTTGCTTCTTGCAAAAACGGTAGTATAATCGAGAATATTTTTAAGTAATTATTAATTGTTCATCTATTAAATATCTATAAGCGCAGTCCCAGTAATTCCTAACTTAAAATCAATCTACTTACTATTAAATAGTTAAATAATATCAACTTTTTCACTAGGTTTATTTAAATAAAAAGCATCCTTTAGCGAATTTAGTATAATAATATTATCTTTAGGATCTAAAATCTTACTATCTTTAGCACATTTAACAGTTGTTAAAAGATTATCTCCAGATATAATTTTACAATTAATTTCTGCATTTTTTAATATTTATATATTTTCTGCACTATCTTCTTTTAATTTATTTTCTAAAATTAATAAACCTAAAAAAATTAGATCAATTTCTATTTCTTCTCTTTTTACATCTTTTAAATTTATATTTTATGATAATTCCTTATATCCAAAACCAATTACTCTATATCCCATATTAGCGAACATACTTAATTTTTCTTAAAATTTATAATTATCTAATGTATTTTTTGAACAAATTTATTGCATCATTTCCGGTGAACCTTTTACAAAAGCGAAATTTTTGCCGTTTTAATCTTAAACTAAACATCCCATTCTTTAATACTAGCTTTCAAATTCCCAAAATTTTATCACTTTCAAAATTGAATTACCATTAATAGCTTCTAATTTACACTCTTTCCCTTTCCTGATATTAAATCCTGAAAACTAAACCATTTTAACATCTAATTCATCCCCCAAATATTCTCCATCATCCAAATAAACTCCATGACAAGTCCCAAAAGCATCTAAAAGAATTTTTTATTTTTCATCTTTAATTTAATTAGGTACCTCAGTAATTAAATCTTCAATGTTAGAATCGCAAAAGCCAATCACATCCATATTATTTTTGGTCAAAGTGCCTGTTTTATCAAAACAAAAAACTTAAATTTCACTCGCGACTACTGTTTTAGATGGATTAACAGCGATAATATTAGAATATCCAAGTCTAACTAAAGCAACAGTCTAGCAAAGTGAAAACATTACAGGTACAGCAGGAGGAATCATATTTGTTAAAGAATGAAATAATAATAAAATAGATAACTTAATAGTTAGGTTTTATATAATTTTATAAAAGAATATAAAATAAACAATCAAAGCTAATACAATTAATATTAAAAGAAAATATATTCCTTTTCTATAAAATTCGAATTCAATAGCTTTTGGGTATAACATAGATCTAAACATTTATCCTTTATAAGAACAATAACCAGTCCTTAAAACTACTCCTAAATTCTCTATTTCTTCATTTTTTTGAATAATTTTAGTTCCTTCAAATAGTATATGTCTTTTCATATTTTTAAAATTGAATAATTCTTGTTAATTATCAGCTTATTTTATGCATAATTTTGGAATAGGAATCGATTCGCCTGTTAAAGTGCTTTCGTTTACTAAAACATCACCTTAAATTAATAATGAATCGCATGGAATCATCATTTTATTTTTATAAATGAACACATCTCCAGGTAATAAATCCTAAGAGTCCAAAACAATTAATTTACCATCCCTATAAACATCTATTTTTATCTAAATATTTGCAAATTTCCTCAATTTATTCAACGAAATCCTTAAGAGTATATAATTAACTAATGTACTAATCAAAGAAGTTAAAATCATAACAGCCGCAAAAACAATAAAGCCTTGTGCAATCCAAATAGCCATTGAAACATATTAAAAAAGGAAGAAAATTTCAGTCAATACTTGTAGAAAATATTCTATAAGCGTAGGAATAGGAATATGTATTTTGCACAATCCATATTTTTCCTTCTTATATAAAATATTCTCCTTTTTATTTTCCAATCCATTTTTATGCTTTTAATATAATTATTCTAAAGTATGATTTTCCACATCACTATAATAAACAGGAATAAATCCATAATTTTACTCATCATATTCATATTTTAAATGTCTGTTTTCAAATCCAAAATTTTTATTTTTATATATCTATTTTTTAACTATATTATAGGTCTGATCGATATTTTAAACCAAAAAATGAGTACAATCTGACAATTTATTGCATTTAATATATAAAGATTTTAATCTTAGTTTGATACTATTTCTCAATATGAGAGCATATATTCCAAAACTAATTATTATTAAAAATATTGTTAATAATAGTTTCTCTATTGTTAATTAAAGAGCAAAAATATTTTCGATAGTTGACTATCCTTCAACGTCATTATCAAGTATTTTTAGTTGATTTCTGTTATTTATTATTGGATTAGTGGTATATTAATTATTTTAATTTAATTATGAGTCGCGTTTTTAATCTTATTAATAGTTTAATACATTTAAACTTCCTTTTGACGCAACTGTGTATTTTAGTTGTTCATTTGTATGTAACATTTTTTAGCTATATATTTTTTTTTTATTAATTTATATAATTTTTTATTATATATTATTAAAAAGAGTTTATTTTTAATATATAAATAATATAAATGTGGATTAAAATTAATTTAAAATTAAATATAGGATAATATATATATATATATATATATATATATATTATATTTATTTTTATATATAAATATATTTATATATATATTTATGTGTGAATGTAATAAATTCATGATTATTTAAAATATTTTATATATAATTAGCTTAATATTATACCTTAATTTAATTTTATATTTTTTTTTATATTTATATATTTATAAAATAAATTAATAATAATGATTTTCTAATCATTTTATATCAATATTTAATTTTTATTACTAAATTCTTTATAATTTTATTTAAAGGGTTATTATATATAATTTTTTAATAAAATGAATTTTTCTTTATAATTTTTTTAAAAAAATAAAAAATAATTATTAAACATTAATTAATTATCAATAATTTTAATGAAATTAATTATTAAATCATTATAATCATAATAAATAAAATTAATAATAGAATCGAAAACTAATTTTTATGCATATATAAATTTAAATATAAATATAAATATAAATAATAATCAAATAATAAAAAAATATAGAAAATTTAAACGAAAATGAAAATAAAGCATTATAAAAAAAAATAAAAAAAAAATCGTAATAATAATAAAAAATATATTTATATTTAAATATAATACAAAAATAAAAAAATTATTTATAGAAAAAAATATATTAATTAAAATTATTATTATTTTATTTATAAAAAAAATATTATAATATATATATATATATATGTTTTCCATAATTTAATATTTTTAAATTATATAATAATTATTTTATATAATTAAAATTCTTTATAAGCTATTTAAAAATGTTATGAGAATCTTTATTTAATTTCTGTTTTAAAATTTATAATTGATTTAATATATATTTCTATTTTAAATAAAATATTACATTTTTATATATTGTTTATTTTATAATAAAAATATATTAATATTTAATTAAATATAAAAAAAATTACCTTTATAATTTATTAATAATTTTTAAAAATTATTAAAAAGGATATATAATCTTAAATAAAAAAATAAATAAAAAATTCTTATTAGTAAAAATATACCTGATAATAAAAAGTTATATAAAAAATCCAAATTCGCCTTAAAACAAAGACAGAAAGCCCCAAAAGAAGCAAAAAATAACGCAAATTCATAAAATTATCTAAAGTATAATAATACATAATTGCTCATCTTCTATCTTCTAATACATTTAATAAAAATTAAAAAGCATTAAACAGTGGTAAACTATCATCATGTATTAAAATTATTTTAATTTTTTCCCTTTTTATTTGCCTATAAAAAAATCCCAAACATAAATTTTTCATTATATTTTAAAATCCCAATATATAAAAAATTTCCTATATTTTAAATACTTCTATAGCTGTGAAATTTTATCTGTTTTATTTTTTGACAAATCTAACATTACTATAAATAAAAAAAATTCAAATCCTTTACTGCTGATGGTTTTTTCTCTCAAAAGACCATATTGACCCACCCCCTCCATTTTATATTCTATTTAGTCCGAGAATTTCATCTTTTATAATTTCTTAAGATCTATAAAGAAGTATAACTAACAAAATGAATTTTCTTCCTTAATTATTAAGGAATTTTATTAAATTGATTTTTTTGAATTATTATCATCATCATCAGAATCTATTATACCAAAATCAAAATATAATATTTATTATTTTATAATAAAAAAATAATCAGAGATAGTCAGCAGTAAAATCTAAATTTCAAAAGAAAGTCCAATTTTCACATAAATAATAAATTTTATTAAATATAAAATATTCCTCTATTAAAAAAATCGATTATAATTAATCCCTTTAATGTGTATAAAACTTCATAATTTAAAATTTTAAGTGAAAATATCACTCAATGATATAAAAATACAGAATTCAAACCTTTTATTGACAGAAGAGTATGTAGTTAATAAAAAAAATATGAAAAAAATTGATCTTGATATTTTACAAATAATAAAAAAGATTTTAAAAAAAAATATAGTAAATTAATAATTAAAATAAAATAATATTTTATAAATGAAAAAAAGAAAAACTTTTGAATATTTTTTTTATTTTAATATAATAGCTTATCATTTCTTTTAGAAAATCTTTATTTAGAATTTTATAAAAATAAATAAGATGTTATATATTTATAATAATATTTAAAAATAAATAATATATTATCATTATTTCATAGTATGTGTTAATTATTATCAAAATTACATAACATTTAATATTTTAAACGAATATAAAAAAAATAAATTGTAATTAAATATAAATTGAATTTCTAAAATATTTATAATTAATAAAAATAAAATAAATTAAATATATCTTTAATTAGAAATTATATTCAAAAAAAATAAACAAAAATTATATAATATTAATAAATATATATATATATATATAATTATATATATATTTATATATATATATATATATATATTTATATTATTTCATATTATTTTTATTTTATTTAATAATTTTTTAAAATTTATATATATAATCTTTTAAATTTTCTCTAGTATAAAATAATTAACTATAGAATTTTTTTAAAATTAATCTTTGTTTTAAATAATAATAATTACCTTTATTTATTTTCATAAATAGTTTATTTTTTATATCAAATAAATAAATAAATTATAATAATTTTTTTTTTATTATAAGAATTTTAAATGTAAATATATAAATCATATTAAATAAATTTATAACAAAATATAAAAATTTATAAAAATTAATAAAGATCCTTTTTTTTTAAGAATTTTTTTTTTATTATTATTAATTAAATATTAGAAATATTAATAATACTTCTTCTATTTTAAATATAATATTTATAATATCTTAAATATTAAAATATATATATATATATAAAAAAAAAATTAATAAATAAATATATATAAATAATTAAATTAAATTAAATTAAATTAAATTAAATTAAATTTAATTTAATTATATACTCTGATAAGAATTTTTTTTTATTTTTAGTATTTAATTTTGAAGATTATTTTGTCATTTATTTTTGTATATTTGCTTTATAAACCTTTTTAATTTTATTTATTATGATTAATTTTATTTATATAAAACATTTAGAATTTAATTTAAATTATATACGCATATATATATATATTTTTATTGATTTTAAAATTTTTTTTTTTTTATTGCTCAAGTAAATATATATATTAAATATAAATAATAGTTATTGTCTTTGAAAAAATAAAAAAATTCTAGAACAATTAAAATATATTAATTTTCTGTTTAAAAAAAATTATGATGCATTTATATTAATATGTAATTTATAAAATATTTATATAGTATTATTTTTAATAATACTATATATTTTTTTTTTTTACTTAAATACAAAATAATTATCAATTTTCAATAAATTTTTGATATGATAGTTTATGATACATTTTTATTTATTTATTGAAATGCGTATTTATTTAAAAAGTATACACATTTTTTACAAAATAAAATAAATTAATTAATTAAAAGTTATAATATATTATATTTTTTATCAAGAATCATATATATGTTTAGCTAATTAATTAGATGTTCTTATGAAATATTTTAAGATTTTAAAATATGATATTAAGCTTAACAATACTTATTTAAAAAGAATTTTTAAGAACTAGTTGTAATAATTTAATAGATATTTTCAAGTAAATATTTGTAAAATAAATATTTTTATTTTATTATATATATAATCGGATTATGATTGCTAGTCGGTTTTATGATGAATTTAGTGATTAGGAAAATAATTACTATTAAGGATAGGATTAATATAAATAAACAATATATAATACACTTTAAAAAATAACCATTAAATAATATTAAATGTTAATTTTTATTAATAGAAATAATTATTATAAAAAAAAAAATATTAATTAAATAATAAAAATTTAAAATTATGGTAACAATAACATTAAATAATAATATAAGTTTTAAATGATTTTAAAAAAAGAAAAAAGAGATTTTAATATATATTGATATAAAAAATAAAAAAAAAATCTGTTAAATATATTTATATTAATAAAAAAAAAATTTACATATATAATTTTAATTTTTTTTTTTTTTTTTTCATTATTCTTATTTCTTTAATTTCTTTGGTAAAAGATATTTAATAAAGTATTCTTCCCAAATTAAAATAAGGGCATTAAAAATAATCACAATAACTAATTATTCAAATAAGAATTTTTTCTACTTATACAATTCTTTATCAAATTTAAAAACACTAAAGCCTAAAACTTCAATAAGCAAATATTATAAAACTGAAATTATTAAAAATATCATCATCCAAATAAAATATACCCAATTTTTATATATTCTTTATTTAAAAGGCATAGAAACATAATAAGCCATCGACGAAACTAAAAAAAATATATTAGTTGCTAAAAACATAATGTTAATAGCGATATTTTAATCATTATAAATAACCCCATATTTTAATGATGTTATAATCTAATAAAAATCTTATTATCTATAATGTAAATAACATCCATAAAAACCAGCTGATCCTAATATAAACTAACCAGCCATAGAGAAAGCATTTTCTTTATTTAATAAATTGCAATTAGGTCTGTTTTTACATAATACTTTTATAGGTTTACTAAATGAAACAAATAACAATAAAGGTATAGCAATAAAATAATTTATATATATTAATTAAAAACTAGAATAATTGCTAAATTCATAAAGTAATATAAGAGATACTGCATATTTAAAAACATTAATAGTAACATAATATCTAATATATAAAATATTAATATTTATATATGTAGTTTATATAAAAACCTATAACATTCAATCATACTAGTTAGAACACATCTACCTTCTGTTAAAATATTAATAAGGCAATTAATAGAATTTCCTTAATAAGAAAAAGGTGCTGAAAAAGAAGCATCTGTTTCGCTAAAAGAAACACCTTAAATAAAATTAATATATATATGATAAATTTTATGTATATTTACCTATATCTGCTTATTTAATAGCAGAACAATCATTAGCTCCATCACCTATCATTCCAACTTTTAATTTAAATAATGTTTGATGCATATAAATAACTTCAGTTTTTTATTCTGGTTTGCATCTTGCATAAACGAAGGTATTTTCGATAATATTTTTAAGTAATTATTAATTGTTCATCTATTAAATATCTATTAGCGCAGTCCCAGTAATACCTAACTTAAAATCAATCTACTTACTATTAAATAGTTAAACAATATCAATTTTTTCACAATTTTTATTTAAATAAAAAACATCCTTTAACGAATTTATAATAATAATATTATCTTTAGGATCTAAAATATTACTATCTTTTGCGCATTTAACAGTTGTCAAAAGATTATCTCCAGATATTAATTTACAATTAATTCCT